ACCCTTCTAATCCCGGGACCCGGGTACGTCCTAAAACTGCGACCAGACACCGAGGAATGGGCTGCAGCATTCCATAAATATATCGGTGACCTAACTGCGATCCCCAAGCCGCCTGCCAAGCGTGGGGATTATGGCAAACCCCCCCCCCCCCTCACTATGAACGGCAACCTAAATACACGGCCCCCAGTCCCCGGCAGCTCCGCTATCCCTGATCTTGGTAGCGGATCGGGTAACGGCGGAGCAGGGGGTGCTAAGAATCCCCGGCAGATGAACCGCTACCACCCCCGACGAACTTTGGCCCTGGCAACACATAACATCCGCACACTGCGGACCGATGAGAAGATTGTCGAGCTGGAGGAAGAATTGAGCAAAATGCGTTGGGACATCTTGGGACTGTCTGAAATCCGAAGAGAGGGCCAGGATACGATGGTCCTGGATTCCGGCAACTTGCTCTTCTTCCGGGAAGGAGATCAAAAATCCCAGGGTGGTGTCGGATTTCTCGTCCGCAAGTCCCTCGTCAACAACGTGAGTAAAGTTGACAGTGTGTCGAGCAGGGTAGCGTACCTTATACTCAGAATATCACACCGGTATTCGCTGAAGGTCATACAGGTATATGCGCCGACCTCGACACACTGCGATGATGAAGTAGAGGCTCTGTATGAGGAAATTTCCCAAGCCATACACACCTCCGAAGCTCACTTCACCGTTGTCATGGGGGATTTCAACGCGAAGGTGGGCACACGGAACGGCGAAGAGCTGAGAATGGGGCCATTTGGGTATGGGCAGCGAAACCGTCGGGGCCAGCGGCTGGTCGACTTTATGGAGAGGGAGAGACTCTTTCTAATGAACTCCTTCTTCCGAAAGCGACCAGCTAAGAGGTGGACGTGGATAAGCCCCGATGGTTACACCAAAAATGAGATCGACTTCATCATGGCGACCGACAAGCGCATATTTAGTGATGTCTCTGTGATAGCTAAGGTGAAAACCGGCAGCGATCACCGTATTGTCAGAGGCACACTGAATATCAATGTCAAGCTGGAGAGGTCACGCCTGGTGGGGTCCACACTCCGTCCTGGTCGCGCCCAGGTCCAGAACCCCGAACAGTTCCAGCTCCAACTGCATAATCGCTTCCAGTGCCTGGCTGAGTGTGAAACGATTGACGAGTTAAATAATGGGTTAGTGGAAACTGTCCAAGCGGTGGGCTCAGAGTTTTTCAAAAACCCACGCCGAAATAGACCTCAAAAGCTCTCGAAAGAAACACTGAAATTATTGAAAGACCGTCACGAGATGAGGCTGCAGTCTTCAGTTGACATGTCTGGATATGGCAAACTTAATAGGCGAATTTCAAAGTCTATGCGACGCGACCTGCGTGCATATAACGCCGCACGAGTCAGGGATGCCATAGAGCGAAATCAGGGTGCAAAAGTATTCGCAAGGAGTTCGTCGGTTGGGCAAAGCCAAATGACGAAACTGAAGACCGAAAATGGCAGCATCGTTTCGTCGAAGCCAGAGATTCTGAGAGAGCTTGAAAGGTTCTACGGACAGTTATACACCTCGACACGGCAACCCATTGTCGGTACAGCTCGGGATCCAAGAGCTAAACTGACACGGCACTATACCGAGGATATCCCAGACATCAGCCTGTATGAGATTAGGATGGCTCTCAGACAGCTCAAAAATAACAAGGCACCGGGTGATGACGGAATCACAACAGAACTTCTGCGAGCGGGTGGAAAACCGATACTTTTAGTCCTCCAGAAACTATTCAATTCCGTCATTCTCGAAGGAGCTACGCCGAAAGCATGGCAAGAGAGTGTAGTGGTTCTGTTCTTTAAGAAGGGTGACAACTCCTTGTTGAAGAACTATAGACCCATCTCGCTTCTGAGCCATGTATATAAGCTGTTCTCTAGGGTCATCACGAACCGTCTCGAACGCAGATTTGATGACTTCCAGCCTCCCGAACAAGCCGGGTTCCGGAAAGGCTTTAGCACCATAGACCACATTCATACGCTGCGGCAAGTTATACAGAAGACTGAGGAGTATAACTTGCCACTATGCTTGGCGTTCGTGGACTATGAAAAAGCCTTTGATTCGATCGAGACCTGGGCGGTGCTGCAGTCTCTCCAGCGATGCCATATCGACTACAGATATATCGAGGTGCTAAAGTGTTTGTATAGAAACGCCACTATGCGCATCCGACTCCAGGAAGATAGCACGGAACCAATCCAATTGCAGAAAGGCGTGAGACAGGGAGACGTGATTTCTCCGAAACTGTTCACCAACGCATTGGAGGACGTTTTCAAGCTTTTAAACTGGAGTGGACTGGGTATCAATATCAATGGCGAATACATCACACACCTCCGCTTCGCCGATGATGTAGTCATCATGGCGGAATCGCTGGAGGATCTGAACACCATGCTCAGCGACCTCAATATCGTCTCCCAACAGGTGGGTCTTAAAATGAACATGGACAAGACCAAAATCATGTCAAACGTCCATGTTGCACCTGTACCGGTCATCGTTGGGAACGATATCCTCGAAGTTGTAGACCACTATACATACTTAGGGCAGATTATACAGCTAGGTAGGTCCAATTTCGACAAAGAGGTCGCCCGAAGAATCCAACTTGGATGGGCAGCGTTCGGGAAGTTACGCGAAATCTTCTCATCGAAAATCCCTCAGTGCCTAAAGACCAGGATGTTCAACCAGTGTGTGTTGCCGGTGATGACATATGGTACCGAGACGTGGTCCCTGACCTCTGGCCTTCTGGAGAAGCTCAAAGTCGCTCAGCGTGCGATGGAGAGAGCTATGCTCGGGGTTTCTTTGCGCGACAAAATCCGAAATATGGAAATTCGCCAAAGAACAAGAGTCACCGACATAGCTCGCAAAATCTGCAGACTAAAGTGGCAATGGGCAGGCCACGTCGCTCGAAGGACTGACGGCAGATGGGCCAGGAAAGTCCTTGAGTGGAGACCACGGACCGGAAGACGAAGCGTGGGCAGGCCTCCCGCTAGGTGGACCGACGACATCGCCAGAGTTGCGGGGAGCCAGTGGATGCGGGTGGCGAGTTGTCGTTCGACGTGGAGGGCTAAGGGGGAGGCCTTTGTCCAGCAGTGGACGTCTTCCGGCTGTTGATGATGATGAAACCCTTCTAATTCGCCACTTCATTTTTCGCCATCCCAATAACTGTAAATAGCACATAATGAAATTACCTACATTGCAATTTAAGTATGATAACCACTTTCTATCATTCTCTATTGACAAATAAGTTTCATTCTAGCCTCGTCCCAATTCAGTTGGAAACAAGACGAAAGAAGATTCTGTAGCTATCCTCGTTCCCAAATTAGATACGACCCAAATATTTAAGGATAAAAAAAATGTCGAGGACATTTTAATAAATCTAATTAATGAACAATAAAAAAAGTTTTCAATCAATACATTAAATAGGCCACTTACTTTTTCAAGTTTTGCAATAAATGCCGTTGTTAAGGCACTCGGGTGACATTAATACTTTATGAAAAGCCGTCAATATCCGTTAATCCTTTTAACGCTTAGACAATAAAATTTCAATTTCGTCGATGACAAAAAAGAATTTTGTAATTGAAAACCAATTTCGTTGAAAACGTAATAACATAGGCACTGCAATGAATAAAAAATTGACAGTGTTATTGACTGTTTAGAATCAGACAGAAGGACTATATGTTTTTCGCAAGTGCGCCTACCGGGCAAGTGGTTCAATTTCCGGGTCGTGCAAATTATTAATGAGATTTAAAAAAATCTCAGTAGTAACACGGAGTCTAGAATTATCCTCGGTATATGGTAATGGGCTCACCCTCTATTACATCATCATAACATAAATAGTGAAAAGTGGGTGTTACATTGTACAGTGGCATAAAGTGCCGTAATGTGCACCTCTGCCTTCCCCTTCGGGCATAAAAGGCGTGATGTTATGTATGTATGTACATAATTTCATATACACAAATTGAAGAATTACTTAAAGGAACTCTGTTCTAGAAAATAACAACAATAAAAACATTAAATCAAATAGAAAACTTTTACAATCGGACAAATATTTGTATGATGAGAGCAAGCACAAACATTTACAAGGATTCACAAGGATCCATTGAAATCAGTACAACTCAACGCCTAGAATGGTATACCTATACAGACGTGGAGACATTTCGGAAAATTCATTGCTAAGGCTGTACCCGCCTGTTCCGTGTCTCATGGCCAATCGCGGTCAGAGAAAATGCCCTATGTCCACTCTATGCCATTCATTCTATAACTTTTCTCATAATAAAAGCCAAGATTCAATATTATAAGAGAAACTGGAGACAGTTTGATCGTCATGAGACTAGATTTACAGAAGATTTACAGAATTTCTATGATCGCCATCTAATGGTATAAAGAATATAATGGCAAGTATTTTATACATAATAGGTCCTAAAATTGGTAATCATAGTTAGTTAAATATTTTTAAAATTAAAACGAAATTATAATTGTGAAACGAATGTTATCAAATGTCAATTTCAAAAACCTATTCAGAATCTTAAAGAACATAATGAGGCATTGAATGATTAACTGTTTGTGAACATTGTAGGTATATAGGTACTTGTATAATACGTTCATGGACGCGACGGTTGGTCTCGTAATCCGCATCAATCATGCATTGTACGCCAGTTCACTAGTGAAGTTAGACGCAGTTAAGACAATTATCAGTTCTGTAAAGAAGGATAACTAATACAACGAATAAAACAAGAAAAGACGCAGAATAAAAATCAGACGCAAAAAGTTAAGTATTGTAATAAAAATAAAAACGTATATGTAACCAATTTATCGCGATAATAAACACTAGGTTTCCGTTTGCCATTTCAGAATCAAGTGGTAAATGTGCAACGTTCAATCAAAGTGTATAGGTTTCAAATACCTAGTTAAACTTTCAAACACCAAGCGGTCACCGGTGACCGCAACCTATTGTTCTATAATTGTGTCTACAAAACCGGTACTCGACGAGTTAAATACAGGACAAGTTAAAAACATCAAGAAAACAATGAGATCCGCATTGTGTTACACTTTTTTTGTTTTTGTTTTGTTATATACCACAACGCGAGTCACTGCGAACCCACTTTCAGATCAAGCTATAAAACGAATTAATTCAAAACAAAAGACTTGGACAGCTGGCAGAAACTTCCCGGCACAGACATCGATGACATACATTCATAATCTTGCAGGAACTCTGAAAGATGATACCCAACGAAATCTACAAATACTAAAGCATCGTATTGATCTGATAGATAATTTGCCAAATTCCTTCGATCCGAGAGACAAATGGTTGAAATGCATGTCTTTGAACGAAATCAGAGATCAGGGCGCTTGTTCTAGTTGCTGGGCTTTAGGTGCAGTGGCAGCGATGACTGATCGATACTGTATATTCTCAGAGGAGAAAAAACAGTTTCATTTCTCTGCCGAGGATTTGATTAGCTGTTGTGAAACTTGTGGACTGGGATGTGTTAAAGGACTTCATATAGCGGCTTGGATATACTGGACAAGGCTCGGACTTGTATCAGGAGGCAATTACAACTCGAGTCAAGGCTGCAAACCCTACAATATACCACCAGGAGAAAATTACGTGACCGAAGAGTTGTCACCTTTAGGCCGAATAGTTGATATATCGCAATGTTTGACGTTCTGTGACCCCAGTTACAACGTCGCATATCGGGATGATAAACGCTATGGTGAGAGAGTCTACCTTATAGAACGTAATGAGAATCAGATAAAAATTGAACTATTTTGCAACGGACCCGTAGAGGGTGTAATGGAAGTTTATTCAGACTTCCTCAATTACAAACACGGGGTTTACAATTATACAGAAGGTGAGTCAATAGGTCACCATGGGGTTAAAATTATGGGCTGGGGAGAGGAGCACGGCCACAAATATTGGCTGGTAGCTAACTCTTGGGGCAAAGATTGGGGTGATGAAGGTTTCTTTAAAATTCTACGCGGAGTAAACCATTGTGGTGTTGAGGAGTCTATAGTCGCGGGTGAACCGATAATAGTTTGAGTTTGAAAAACTTGTCGAATTATTCTGGAGACACCAAAAAAATGCTTCGTCCTATTAATGATTAACACAATGCTTTCAGAATCTCTAAAGTACTATACATTATACATAACATGATACATTATTATACGATACACCTACATATTATAATGTTCTTATAACATAAATCTGTAACAATACTGAGTCTTTTTTTGTATACCATACCTTTTCTAGTGACGTTAGACACATTATTTGTCGTAGAGGTCTCAAAAATATAAAGTGCCGGAAAAATCGGAAAATTGAATTGAAACTAGTTGCGAACGACCTCTAAAATTTTATTAAAACAATGAGACCGTTATATGAGCACTTTGAAACCTGGTTTTCTAATATGACTTCAGTTAGGTTAGCTATACATGTAAGTATGTACAATTGTACAAATACAATGTAACTCTTCGTCTAATTGTGGAGTAACGTTTTATACCTCTAGAGACATAGTAAGTACACTGTACATCCAAACATGGTTCAAAAGCTTTTGAGAAGTATTTTTTTTTTTCAAAAAAAGATTTTGCAACCCGTGCACATCTTAAAAGCTCAATGAAAAGATTTGTCTCTTAAAATTACAAGAGCTTATCCGCAAACTATAAAATTGAAGATAACTTTTTTATAACACAAAATGGCCGTTAGATAAAGGAAACAATGCCGGGTTGTCAACGTGAACACTAAAAATTTAGGATTATCACCGGAACGAAGTAAAGAGATAAAATTTGAGGCACTTGTGATCGCCCTTTTACGAACGGTTAAAAGTGTATTTCTGGGCCTGAGGTCTTATTAGCACCATAATCGGAGACGTTATCGATTTTAAGGATACAGGAGAAGTAAAGAGGCCTTAGAGTAAATTGTGCTATTGTTTCAGATGTCCCTAAATAACCAATTTTCTAATGGTAATAAAATAAATATGTAGTTTGGGTTACATTGGGCAAGGTTACACCAGACCATTTGCTTATCCCTACACACGTTACGAAACCGTAAACATTTGGTATATATATGTTATGTTAGAGATAGTCCTTACTTAGTCTTTTCTAAGGTAAGCTACCGATCTGCAATATAGAAGCACTCAAATAGAATATTTAAAAGCCCGTCCGGAGTTTCAAGCCCTTATTTATCGAAGGTCGATAGTGAAAAAGTACAGCAATGGCACAGGTGTTTAAGCGGCTCAGTAGCTATATCGCTGAACGATCAATTTGCAAAATTAATCAACGTCACTCAGGCAGACTGTATCAATTTAGGTACACATTTTTGTTTATCACTTTTTGTCTACTGTCTGCCTATTACTTCAGCTGCACGTTTAATGTGGTACTTTAACATATCGACTTCTATTTCGGATAAAAGTAACGGATTCTGATTTTAGGTATTATTATCATCAGCAGCCCAGGCTCTGGTGTTGACATTGATCTCCCGTACTTCGGTAAGTCGTACGTCTGTCTTGTGTCCTACAGAAAATCATGAAGTTTTTGTATATTGTCAAAAATTCCACAATCCACTATCTATTACGATCGGTTTCCATCCCAGTTATGAATATGTTCATTTTTGTTTTATGGGATAGCAATCGGCGTCGCCCATGGACATCTGGAACACCAGAGGCGTTACAAGTGCGTTACCGGCCTTTTGGGATTAGGAATTCGAGGATTGTTGGGGATTCAGGGATTGGGGAAAGGGGGGGAGGGTAATTGGGCATCTGGTAACCTCACTCACACGACGAAACACAACACAACGTTGTTTCACGTCGGTCGTCTGTGAGGTCGTGATATCACTCCGGTCGAGCCGGCTCATTCATGCCGAAGCATGGCTCTCCCACACTTCATACAAGTACTCCTGGCCTTTTCCGACAAATATTTATAGACTTTTGTAGAGATAATTTACATCATGTTAACGTATTAATTCCCATGTTTCGTTTTGTAATTAGTGGTCATTTGTTAGTCTTCAGCTAATACTATTTACAGGTCATATAACACTCGTTAGCTTTCGATTTAACAATAGATTAAATTAATCAGACTTCCAGCTTAGACTGATTAGTATCAGGGATTAATTGGTGCTTAGTAGTGTTTGTTTATTCGATAACAATCTATCCGATACTTTAGCAATTTAATTAACTTAACCAGTAAGGTCTTCGTCGGGGTTTGTTTTTTGACACAACATAACATCACGCCTTTTATCCCCGAAGGGGTAAACAAAGGTGACCATTACGACACTTAATGCCACTGTATAATGTAACACCCACTTTTCACAATTTATGTTATGAGTCCCATGTAATAGGGGGTGAGCCTATTGCCATATACCGGGCACAATTCCAAGCTTCGTCCTACTATTGGGTTTTTTTTAAACCAATAATACTTTGCCCGACCCTAGAATCGAACCCAAGACCCCTTGCCTGGCAGTTGCACTTACGACCGCTCGTCCAACGAGGCAGTTTCATTTGACGTATTGTTTTTTGACACGGCAAATTATACTCGTGAAAATATACTGCTAGACCACCATGTAAGAAGATTTTCTATACGATTAGCAGGTGGTGATAAATAATCGGGTTTTTATCAAAGACTCGCTTCGACTGATCATCAGTCGATTAATTTAACGATTCAAAACAATAGTTTTCACCTCAATATTATTGAATTGAACAAACAATACTTATTCATGCTGTGAATAGACTTTAGTGAATCATTTGAACGCATGTTTGGCCATTGTGTGCCTACATACACACATACAACATAATCAAAACTAGGCTATCATAATATCTATATCTCTCAATACTCTCTGCGGTTCCGTACACAATAATAGTAACCCTTTTGATTCCATCAGTAAGGTACAATAAAATAGAATAGAATAATCTTTATTATACACCATTAATAATATAGTACCTACATACAGAAAAAGGAATATTGATAAACATAAGTAAAAAATAATAATGGCCACAAAAGCGGTCTTATCACTTATAGTGATTACAGGAAGGTAGGTACTGAAAACACATGTTTTAAGGCTATTTATCACAGTACTGTTTCAAGTGCTTTTTCAGTTCTTGTACCAATTTAATCAGTTCGTAAAAATCCAATAAACAACATCATATTGCCAGAATTATAGCAATAATAAGGAAAGTCCGCTTGCATTTACTAAATAAATTATTTATTGGTATGGCTTCTTATCAGCATCCAATGTACCCAATTTATTTAACTACAGTTATGAAGTTTATACCTATTTTTCGTCGACTTGTTATAATACCCATAACGGCGACAATACAGTATGACTAATTAGTGTAGTCAGTTATATTTCAAACTTGGACGTTTGTCATAAACATGCCACAGCTTACCTCTAGATTTATCTCATCAAGTGCTAAACAATTTTACAACAAATAGGTTAGTCCATAATATTCTATTCAGGATGTTTAATTTACAACACATGCTAGACTCCTGTAAAAGGTCCCCGAACCATCCTGATAACCCTGACATAGGAGCAAACACTTGCGCCCTCGGATCCCCAATTAATTACTTCCGACCGATACAAAACAAATGTTTACTAATGCCTGTAAAGCGTTCGCCCATAATATTTGTTTGTCTCGTGTTATCTCTGGGTATACATGTATTGTTAACCTTCGACACGGCCGGTCAAGCGCTGTCTCGCCCCTGTTGACCGTGTCGTGCGCTCCGATGCAATTACACGGCGTGCGAGCACGGGTATCAACTACACCCACCGCGGCCGGCCGCCGTTCAGTCGTCGCGCCACATTCGCTCCGTATACACATCCATTAATCGCTCGGCTGTGAAAAAGAAAATAAAGAAGTGAATAATGGTCGCTTCGCGTGCAACGTTTGTTGCGCTCGTGTGCGCATTCGCGCTCGCCTCCGCCAATGTGGAAGATATGCAGAATCCACTCACAGACGAATTCATCAATCTCATCAATACGAAACAAAACTCGTGGAAAGCTGGCAGGAACTTCCCAGTGAACACACCGCTCACACATATCAAGAAATTAACGGGTGTGTTAGTCGACACCCACTTGTCAAAACTTCCCAAAGTTGAACATGAAGTTGAATTGATTGCGAGTCTTCCAGAGAACTTCGATCCACGAGACAAATGGCCAAACTGTCCCACACTAAATGAGGTGAGGGACCAAGGATCTTGCGGCAGCTGCTGGGCGTTTGGCGCTGTGGAAGCAATGACCGACCGGTATTGTACATACTCGAATGGAACCAAACATTTCCACTTCTCGGCAGAAGATCTTCTCAGCTGTTGCCCAGTCTGTGGTCTCGGATGCAATGGAGGTATGCCGACGTTAGCTTGGGAGTACTGGAAGCATTTCGGTCTCGTGTCAGGAGGCAGCTACAACTCGACCCAGGGCTGCAGGCCGTACGAGATTCCTCCCTGCGAACATCATGTACCCGGTAACAGGATGCCTTGCAATGGTGATTCTAAAACACCAAAGTGTCACAAGACTTGCGAGTCAAGCTACAATGTGGACTACCACAAGGACAAGCGCTACGGCAAGCACGTTTACTCAGTGTCAAGCAAGGAGGACCACATCAAAGCCGAGCTGTATAAGAACGGGCCCGTCGAAGGTGCGTTTACTGTGTATTCGGACTTACTGAATTACAAAAACGGTGTTTACAAACACACGGTCGGCAACGCACTCGGTGGACACGCCATTAAGATTTTAGGTTGGGGAGTAGAGAACGGTAACAAATATTGGTTGATTGCGAATTCATGGAACAGCGATTGGGGTGACAATGGGTTCTTTAAAATTCTGCGAGGTGAGGACCATTGCGGCATCGAGAGCTCTATTGTAGCCGGTGAGCCACTGTTTGTTGAAGTTTAGTGCGTAATTAGGACAATTAATTAGTTATTGTCTTATGTGTAAATAGCTGCAGTCTTATTTACTTCCTACAGTACCAAATATGTTTATAAATAGTTTATTATTATGAATAGTAGCAACGATATTAATTGTAAAACAAATTTATATTTTGTATAAAGAATAAAGTGATTGTTTTATAAATTGTTGTTTGTATCGTTTTCCTGAGAGTGAGTAAACATAATTATGATAATTGACGGCTATCTTAGTGTAAGAGATAAATGTTTATGTGTATGTGTTAGTGATTAGCGGAAAATAAC